TTCACTTTTGCCAACTAAAAATTATAAATTGAAATTTAATTATTGATGTGATTAATATATCTGAATTGATAGCGCACTTGACTCACCTTTGATTCAAATACTCGTTTTTGACATTCAAGTTCCTGTTTCAAACGATTTTCAGCTTGTTCCTTGGTTGCAGTCAATGTTTTTTCAAACGAGTCCACAAGTTCATTTCGAATTTCTTTTTCTTGCCGCAAGAGTTCAGAATTTATCCTAATTTGGAAATTATTTACTTCGTTTATCAGTCGATCATTATCACTACGCAGCCTATTTGAATAAATAATTTATATATTATTACATCCCAAAAGAGTTAGCGTATTTTAAAACGTACAAAATATTTTCTTCGAGTAATTGCTCAATGTAGGCATTTTGTGCACTGCCGGCCTTGGAATATTCCAAAAAGAATGAAAATCTGGAGTTATTTTGCTTCACAATTGGTGGTTTGAAGATAATATTCTTAGCGATTGAAGAGAATCCCAAAACATTTAAATTTTCTTCATAATATTTTTCAGTGGGTGTAACATTAACCACCATGGCAATTTTCTCTTTTCCCAACAGTGGAGCTTGCAACAACATCGTGAGTTTCGATTCTCGGTAAGGAATAACCTCAGTACTCTTCTTACGATTTAAATTATTAGCAGCATCAAGACAGCGACCCAGAATCATCAACGATGTATTGATACGTTGTGCTTCCTTAAGTCGCGAACCAACATTCCCAGTTTTGTCAAGACGTTCAGAACCAGCCAAGTCACAGAATTTATAAGATATCTTCAAATACAAAACAAAAAAATAATGGATAAAATCATTTGAATGATAGTAAAATAATAAAATAACTTACTTCTGTTATCAAACCTGATGCATTGTACTTTAGCACGTCAATGATGAATATACAATGCGACCGGCTGGAGTTTGAATTGATGGAAGTAGAGGCGTAAGTGACACGTTGTAAGCCAAAGCGCAGCAATTTTAAGGCTTCCAAGCTATTCTTCACATAAACTTGTGTTAATCCTTTCACGAAAACTTTTCCGTCGTTGCTAACAATTTTAAGATTCTTACGAGACGGCACTGTAATTGTTTGATTAGATGCTGATAATTCCAGTAAATCATAGACAAATTCGTTATAAATTTCAACGAATGACACCCAAATCATAACAGACACATCATCGAAAACTGTGGTTTCAAAATTATGATCTGAGCATATGATTTGTTGGAGTTGCTTATGTACTGAGGTTATATCTCCGCAAGCTGTGAGTACTTGACGAGTTGAAATTATTTCCTTGGCTAAAAGTTCATCATCTAAAATAACTACGCGAGCATTTTGTAATTTAACTGCTGGGTGCGGATATATATTGGAATTGTATAATGTGAAAATATTCTCAATGGAACGCGGCACAATACCAGGATTAACGTCATCGCCTACAGAAACAATTATTTTTATACAAATCATATAATTTTACTTTAATTGAAGTTTACCTAAAAGTGTAAAAGTCTTTCCGGAACCAGATGTACCATAAGTCAGCACTGTGAAACTTTCCTCCAATTTTATTTTGTCACCTATACACTTATTGTATACGCCCTTTTGACTATCATTATTATCGAATATTGCGCTGAAGGTAAAATGTTTTTCCATTGCTGCTTTATTGTTACTTGTCGTTGTTTGATCTAAACGTGGGTTCACCACAAGAGTATTTCCATTGCCTGCAATTTTATATGACGATGAAGGAGAATTAACAGGACGCAGTCGTAGATACACCATGGCCCCATCTTCTCCAATAGTACTTGTTTTCGATATGTCACCACTTACAGTACTAGCATCATCAAAATTTGAATTACTATCATCATCTAATTCATCTATATTATCTATATCAATTGCTTTGAATATATTCTTCGGACATGGACGAAATCGGCGATCTATGCTTGGCTCGCGTCCATTAATGAACGAGAGCACGTTGCGTTTAGTTGTGTCTTCGTTTCTGGACATTTTTTCTTTATTATAACAAACAAAAACATAAAAAACAATAACACAAAAATACTTCGAAGCACTAAATTTAAGTTTGTTTAAGTATCGTTTATTTCTCCAGGAAAATTAACAAACTTGCTTCCAAACAATATTGGTTAAAATGGTAGCTTTGTCTACAGTTAATGAATGATTTTTAAAATGTCCGCGGCGATAGCGAAATCAATATTATCCAATGTACAATGAGAGCCGCTGTAAGATTTGTAAGCGATGCTGTGTTTATAAAATTAAATTTATTTAAAATTTAAATATTGTGTAGCGTAACATTATTCGGCTAAATGATTAAAATATTAAAGCTAAAAATGTGTGCCAAATACAATGTATAATGTCTCAGTATTTAACATAGCAAAATAACATGTCTTCGAACGTAACGATTAATTAAACTCGGATTGTCGAATCATCGAATTAAAAATAAAAATAACGAGATTATATAAATATTTAAAGTAGTATAAATTGTACAAGTAAAATTCAATGAATAATTCGGGCCTGATATATACTGAAATAATTTATATACATACAACAGCTGATTGAGAGCAATAACATAGCAAAGCGAAGCGAAAAACGTGGATATACATATGACATCAGCTGATTGAGAGTAATAAGATCGCAAAGAAAATTAACATCGGAATAAGAATTTTTACATCGCGTTCAGATTAATATTCTTACTTATATTTTATATAATGTTTTGTATATATTAAAAACGATTTGATTTCTTGAATATATGTGAACATATTTTTTTTTGTATGTGTGTGTATTAGTACTTCGTCTTCCGTTTTTGTTTATTTCATTCTTATTAAATACGCAGGTTTGATTGGTTGTGCATTTCGCTTCGAATTAATTTCTTACGTTATCTACCGTCTAACTGAACCTTTACTCGTATATTTTAATTCAAGTAAAATTTGTGTTCATGTATGAGTCAGCTGTTTTGGTTTGAATTTATTTTGTATTGTTTATTTGCGAGGCACTGGTGTTCTCACCGGACTTTACACAAAAGATGTTCCATGAAAATCTGTTTAAAGAGTGAAATTTGGCATATTATTTGTGTTACGCGAAGATATACAAAGACAACATTTACACAAAACAAATTGTTCCAATGTAAGACTATAGTCTTACATTATCTTTAGGTCTTTAGACGTGGTCGACAAGTCGGTAAAGTGTATGTTATATGTATTTTATGTGCATTTGTTTTTGAGAGGTCATAATATTGCCGTCTCATCGAATTACCGAGAGGCGTTCAGACGCTTTTATCATTCTCGCTCTATAACCGTGGCTTTCGTGACCCCGATCACAGAATCTACAATTAAACTATACCACTCCCTTCATCTACCATCCTTCCCCTTGTACCGCCTGCATATCTTCTTGCTTAAATAAACGTGGATTTCTAAATGCTAAACCTTTTTATATAACTTCTTATCCCTAAATGCTGGAAGAAGTTCTATACCTAGCCCTCCGGAATAGTGATTCCGGAGGGCTAGGAATCTACATTCATTCCGTAAATCTAATTCTACTGGGTTAAAATGCCACGCTATGGTTATCGATGCTTTCCACCTAAAGCAAAAAAAAAGCAAACGAAATTAACTTCTTTGATAGTTTCACTTTATAATTTTACCGAGAAAGATTTATAAATGGATGTTTAGGTGATTCTCAATTTATCACTGTACGAAATGCTGAATAACCGAGAATTATCTGAATAACCTTGTCATATTTATTTAATAAACATGAATTATTTATGTTACTACCAAACCACGTTTTGCTTATATCTTCAGAAAAATGTTTATACACAGACTATCTTAAAAATTAATTTTACCCTGGAGACTTTGTTCGTCTGGTCTGTCCTTTTAAAGGGCTTAGCAATACTGAATGCTTTCGAATGTTTAACTTTAACGTGAAAATTTAATTTTTAAAGAGCATTGAAACTATTCAACTAATTTGCATATTAACGCGGTGTTAATTGTTTTTAATTACACTAATTCCTTTAGTTCCGCAAAATGCTAATGTATGTCTGTTTTCACACCTGTGGGAGAAGTAATTCGCATTAGGAGTCCTACGGAAAGCGTATAAAAGGAGTTGTGCGAACTGAATCCATTTCAGTTCTATTTCAATTGTTAAACTAATTTTTAATCGCAAAATGTTGGGTTTCGGTAAAGAAAATAATAAAAGTAATAAGAAAAGTGTCAGTTTATCTCTGCCAAATCCGCATTTTTTCTTAACAATACCGAAACACCGTGGCAGTCTTGCTTCTGAGGCTTTATCGGATGTTCCAAGTGATATTATTATAAAATCGCGTATCAAATATGGAAGCCGTTGGTCTGCTTGCAAAGGTTTACTCATGGAGTACTCCAAAAGTACTACAATACATGGAATACGTTACATTTTTGAAGTTCATCGTCCATTTTATGAGAAGTACGTGAACGCTTAGTGAGAATATCGGCAATATATATATGGAGAGATTATAAAATTAGTGAACTTAATTTTTAAATTTTAGATTATATTGGTTTTTCTTGATTTCTATATCTCTGTATTATGCTGTTTCGCTTATGTGGGATACTTATCTAAAATGGCAAGATTCTCCAGTTATATTGGGTTTTGATGAAACTCTGGTACCAGTACATAAAATACCATTTCCTACAATTACAGTTTGTCCTGAAATAAAAACGGATGCGAATACTTTTAATTTTGCAAACGTCTCAAAAAAATTTTGGGATGAAATTGCTGAAACTAATTCATTTCATAATCAACAAAATCTCACAGACGAAGAGTAAGTACTTTTATTGGGAAATATATTTTTTATTTAAATTCGTTTCAGAGTAAGAAATAAGTAACTAATTTTGTTGGGGTTACGATTGGAAAAAAAAACGTTGAAAATTCCTTATAATTAATAAAAATAATTTAGCATGGACTGTTTATGGGAGTTTAGTTGTAGTTGTAGGCTAGTAAATATCCTTCCACTATCCTTAAAAAGTCCCTTCAAAAAGAAAAATGAGTTTTTTCGTCGTTACCGAAAGTCAGACAAGCTACAATTTTTTCAACTTTACAAAAAATCTGTATATTCTGGAGGTAAAAGTAGAATAGTCATAGAGAAGATAGTTCCTGATTTATTCTTTTTCCTGTAAGTTTTAACGACTTCTACAATGAGTACGAGTGTTAGTAGGAATGCGCAGTTTCTCTTTGTGGATTTTATTGCACCAGTGAACAGAGAGGGCTGCAAGTAGCCCATCAGTATTACTTTGGTCAGTTTTCGGATGGTCTATAAAGGCATGATATTTTTAAATATAATTTTCATAACAAGAGAAAATATTTTGTAATGACGGTTCATTTTGATTAAAAACTAACTTTTAAGTAATTAAATAATAATTTTTAATTAATTAATAATTAATAATATAATTTTAGATCATACGTACTTTCATCTGATTTAAAAATAATAAGTACATATTTATATGAATTTCTACTATGTGGCATACATTGTGACCGAAAGGTTTTCGGAAATTCTCATTTAAAATTCGCGCGCTGTATATTTTTCGATATTTTAAGTTTATTTGTAGTTTCGGCAGCACTGTCCTTAATTACTATGCCAAAAATGAAAGCGGATCTGTCAGGGACAGTTCGTTTACGGCAGCTGTTGAAACCAGTTCACCTCAGTAGTGCGTTGCGAAAAAAACAATGGAAAAAAATATTGAACAAAGAGTTTGCATCAAATTTTGTTTTTCGAACGAAATTTCGTGTGCAGAATCGTTGCGAATGCTACAAAAGGCTTATGGGGAATCAGTTTTATCGAAAACTCAAGTTTATGAGTGGTACAAAGCCTTTCAGGACTGTCGTACGACCGTCGAAGACATGCCGCGTTCTGGACGACCTTCGACCTCTACCACCGACGAAAACATTGAAAAGGCAAAGGAAATCGTGTTCAAAAATCCTCATGTGAGTGTTAGAGAGATAGCACGAGAGCTAGGCATCGGTCGTGAGATGGCTCGTTTGATTTTGGTGGACAATTTGTGTATGCGACGTGTCAACGCCCGGCTTGTTCCGATTCACCTCAATTTGTTCAACATTATCAACGATTTTAAGGCCAAACATTCAATAAATACCATCGAACAGCCACCGTATTCACCTGATCTTGCACCGTGTGACTTTTTCCTGTTTCCCAACCTCAAATTACCACTCAGAGGAACGCGTTTTGAATCCATAGAAGACGTAAAACAGAATTCGCAGAGGGAACTCAAAGCCATACCGGAAAGCGCCTATAAAAAATGTTTGATGATTTGGAAGAACGTTGGATTTGTTTTCGTTTATGGAGCATTTTTGGGAGGAGATTAAATAAATATTGATGAAGATTAAGAATTTTGCGTTTTATTTATTTATGACCGGAAACTTTTCGGTCACAATGTATTACCAAAATTAGACTATGATACTTTTTTTTATTAACAATTGATTTTTTTATTTAATTTATTTATTAATTATTTGTCTAGCATAATGCTTATAATGGAATAAAGAAATCACAATCTTCTTTAAGTTGGACTAACAGAACTAAAGCTACTGACTCGACTATCAGCTACTCTGCTGATTCCAACAGAGAACCTGTCACTATAAGACTACCATAACATATTATCAACACATTTTCTTTCTTTGCTATCATTTCGAGTTAATTTCAAGTTCTAATCCATTATTAATAATCAAGTATTTAATACGTTGTCACCAGAATTCTACTGAAACATTGATTTATCAACAATTGATAATTTTGTTCAGGTTATATTAAATTTTTTTAACTTTCAAAATCGTAAACTAGCACAGATTTTATGTAAAATTGAGATATTCATTACTTTGTTTTAATTGAAATATGACTGTAGCGCCATACTTTAAACATTGGTTCAAATGCGCCTTTTACTTCATTTATATGAATTATTGTTTTTTTTGACGTTCCGTAATTGTGTTGAATGTTACTAAATAAAATTTTAAATGGGTTTGACGTCCCACCTATCTTTGTATAATGGAGTTGGAGTTGGATGTCGACGGTCGCTATTTTAATTATATTTATTTTTATATTTATTTATATATTAATTGAAGATACATCATACAGTAAAAATGAAATTTAAAATGAAAATAAATATACATACATACATACATAATGGAG